AGCTACTGATCCTCCTGCTGTAAATGCTGCAAATAATTCCAGCCTAGGACAGCAGACACAGGGATCCCCGAAGCAAGTCAGCTAGTGGGACTAACCATATCACTGAGCTCTGGGTTTGATTCAAAAACCCTGACTCAATGAACAAGATGAAGAGTGATCCTGCCTGCCACCCATGATGACCCAAATTCAACTCCCAGAACCCACACGGTAGGAGAGAACCAACCCCTGATAGTCATCTCCTGAAGGACATATGTGCACCACGGTATGAATACCAGAGAGAGATCAAAAGAGACAGACAGAATAGATTGCTGGAGAGATGGCTGGGTGGTTACGAGCTCTTGCTGTTCTTGTGGGTGGACCTGGGTTCTGTTCCCAGGACCTATACAGAAGCTCAGAGCTGTCTGTAGCTCGAGCTCCAGAGGATCACAACGCCTCCATCTGGCTTCTGCTGGCATTAGGCACTCACATGATGCACACATACGCATGCAAGCAAACACTCATACACATAAAATTCAAGTGCCTAAATAATAAAAGTACTTTTAATGAAATGAGATGTTTTCTATTTTAAAAATAGTATCCTTGAACCTATTTTATTTGGGACCTTTAGAAAGAGTCCCACTGCTATAAACAACTTGGGAATTTTTCAGAACTATATCCCTGTAGCTATACTGCTGTATCTTATCTCCAGCAAGATAAATGAGACATTCATGTCCCAGCATCACCAGGCAAAGCTCACCTCATTTGCTTCCCTGTCCCCACAGAGTGGGTCCCTGTGTTGCCATCCTGACACTGGGAACCACCAGCTGCTTCGTTTGAACCTCAGCCACAGAGGTTTTAGCTCCTAAGCTCAACCCAAATAATGAGATGCTCGGCCACGGCTCCCCGAAGCTGCCCCAGCCAGCCAGCAGCTGTCTCCACAGGCGCAGGAGCATCAGCGGGTTTTCTGCTCCATCCTCCCAGTGAATGGCCACAGCAGTGACAGCAGATGCCCCGTCTCATAAAGAACGGAGCGGGATCAGAAAGCGCTCCTAGCTGAGTGCAGGAGGCATGGCCTAATCACACAGCCAGATGTTCTGGTTTTGCAATGACAGCTTGGCTTCCGTCATCACGTCCCTGGAGCTCCAGCCGGAAGCAGAGGGCAGAATCAAAAGGTTCAGACTTATGTCAACTTCCAGTTGTCTGTCAGGGAAGGGAACCATCTGCAAATGGCTTCCTGGTGTGGCAACATTCATAATGTCTAAGCCAGGTCCCCAAACATGTGCGTGAGAAAAGGCACTGTAGGAGCCCAGGTATAACCCCAACGCTTGAGAAGCAAGGGTGGGCGGGGCCCTAGGACTCCTGGCCAGTGAGCAATCCTGTCTCAAAAAAAAAGAAAGAAAGAAGGAAAGAAAGAAAGAAAGAAAGAAAGAAAGAAAGAAAGAAAGAAAGAAAGGAATGAATAACACCCGAGGCTGTCTTCCAGCCTCCACATGTGGCTTGCACTCCTGCACACACACTCACAGGACAAACATAAAAAGGAAAGGGGAAGACACTTTATGAAGCTAAAAGAATAAATCATGTAGGAAAACCAGGTCTGAGAACTGAGTCTGCACACTAAGAGGTACAGCAGGGCTCCCAGTGTGAAATGCTTTACAATGAAGACTTGGGGCTGCGGTTTTTCCTCCTGTTCTAAGGCATCCACAAGCTGGGCTGAGAAGGCAACCAGAAGAGAAAAGGGGCAATGTTATGTTAGTGGCCTGAATCCTGACATTAACCCGAAATAGTTCAAGGTAGCAGCTATGACCCCCGAAGACTCAGAAGAGATGGCAGACATCAAAGCCTTGTCCTCTCATGAGGACCCTTCTGCATCACAGAGGCATGAGGGCCCTTCTGCATCACAGAGGGAACCCTGCCCAGGACATGGGAGCCACCTGCAGGCCAAAGAGAGAGATGCAGATTGCCCATGCAAGACATAGACTAATGATTCTTTTACTGCTATTTCCCATTTGAATATCTTTCCCTTCTGATGTGAGGGAGATGCAGAGAGAGTACCATGACTGCAATATGTGTATGTGTTTATGTGTGTCTGTATGTATGTGAGTGTGTCTATGTGTATGTCTGTGTGGGGGAGTGTGTATGTGTGTCTGCATGTGAGTATGTGCCTGTGTGTATATCTATATGTGTGTGTCTATATGTGTGTGTGTGTCTATTTGTGTGTGTGTCTACATGTGTGAGTCTATGTGTCTGTATGTGTATCTGTGTTGAGTATGTCTGTGTGTGTCTCTGTGTGCGCTGGTCTGCTTCTGTGTATGTTTGTCCGTGTGTGTGTGTGTGTGGGTGTGTGTGTGTGTGTGTGGGTGTGTGTGTGTGTGTGTGTGTGTGGGTGTGTGTGTGTGTGTGTCTCTGTGTGCGCTGGTCTGCTTCTGTGTATGTTTGTCCGTGTGTGTGGGGGGGTGTGTGTGTGTTTGTCCGTGTGTGTGTGTGTGTGTGTGTGTGTGTGTGGGTGTGTGTGTGTGTGTGGGTGGGTGTGTGTGTGTGTGTGGGTGTGTGTGGGTGTGGGTGTGTGTGGGGTGTGTGTGTGTGTGTGTGTGGGTGTGTGTGTGTGGGTGGGTGTGTGTGTGTGTGTGGGTGTGTGTGTGTGTGTCTATGTGTGAATGTCTGCCTGTGTGTGTGCCCATGCTTGTGTGTATCCGTACGTCTGTATATGTGTGTGTATACTCCCACAGCACACTGATACACACAAATGGATAACATGAATGCCAATATACTGATCCTTTCAATGGTTGGTTGGGTTAGTTGCTCAGTTTGGTTTGATTTCTTTTTTAAAGATGTATATTATTGCCCCGAGTTGGTGGTGCACGCCTTTAATCCCAGCACTTGGGAGGCAGAGGCAGAGGGATCTTTGTGAGTTCAGTGCCAGCCTGGTCTACAGAGCGAGTTCTGGGACAGCCTCCAAAACAATACAGAGAAACCCTGTCTCCAAAAACCCAAAAAAAAAAAAAAAAGATGTATATTATGGGGGCTGGAGAGAGAGCTCAGAGGTTAAGAGCACTGGCTGCTCTTGCAGAGGTCCTGAGTTCAATTCCCAGCAACCACATGGTGGCTCCCAATCATCTGTAATGAGATCTAGCGCCCTCTTCTGGCCTGCAGGTAGACATGCAGACAGAATGCTGTACACATAATTAATAAATCTTTACATTATTTTTGGTTATGTGAATTTTTGTTTAGGCATGTGCCTTTGTGTGCGGGTACCAATGGAGTTCAAATGAGGGCATCAGATCCTCTAGAGCTAATGTACACTCAGTTGTAAGTCACCTGACATGGACACTGGGACCTAAACTCAGGCTCTCTGGAAAAGCAGTTCATTCCCCAACCCTAACACACTTGGAAGAAAGTGTTTCTTCATCTGCTGTATGCCCTCAGAAAGCCGTCGGGCTCATCCAAAAAGATTGTGTAGTAGGCTTTCTTCTTTCACTGACTGGACAGTGGACTATGGGACAATTCATCCTGCTGTCCCAGAGGTAGCCTTTGCCAGACCATTCCAGTATTTTTTAAAGAAACTTAATGATTTAAAAAAAACTTAAAAATAAAAAACATTGCAAACCAAAATTAAACAGACCCAACATCTACACAACTCAGTGTACGTGCATTCAGTTACCACTGGCATTTGGATGGAAGCTATGGAGCTTCACGGTAAAATTTGCACATTTATGATCAAATATATTTTATGTACTTATCCACCAGAAAAAACAAAAAGTCCATGACAGAGTTAAAACCAGAAAAACAATTACCTTTATATCCTCTTCCATAACTCACGGCCATTGCCTGCATTCAATCCTTCCTTCTCCCTTTATATTTAGCCTTTCTCAGTCTCTTCTCTTTTTTGTTTTGTTTTATTTTGTTTGTGTTTTTGAGAAAGCGTTTCTCTGTGTAGGCCTGGCTGTCCTGGAACTCACTTTGTAGACCAGGCTGGCTTCAAACTCACAGAGATCCGCCTGTCTCTGCCTCCCGAGTGCTGGGATTAAAGGCGTGCGCCACCACCACCCAGCTCTTGTTCTCTTTTCTTCTACTCTACCGAGGGTACACTTCTTTATGTATACACATGTATTATTGGCTGGAATCCATATATGAAAGGAAAACAAGCAGTTTATTTCTTTTTGAGATTGTGTGACCTTGCTTAATATTATACGGGCTAAGCCCACCACTTCTTGGGAATTTCTTTACTTCATTTTTCTTTAGGAGTCTGTTTTATGTGTGTACCAGATTTTTATTATCCATTCATATGTTGATGAGCAACCCGCTTCATTTCAATCCTTTGCTATAGGGAATGAAGCAGCAACAGACATGGGATGCAAACCTCTCTGTGTCAGGGTGAGGTAATCTGAGTATGTGCTGGGTCATGTGGCGGTTCTAGCACACCAATGGTACAGAACTAACCCAAGCATCAACAGATGGGACCGCATGGAAATAAAAAGGTGCGTGCAGCAAAGGAAAGAATCGCACAGACAGCCCACAGAGTGGGAGAACATCTTTCCCAGCTACACTGCAGACAAGGGGCTGACACCCAGAATTTACAGATAACTGCAGAAATTAAATATCAAGGGAATAAGACTGCCAGTCCATAGATGGGCAAAGGAACCTGTGCTGGTGAGTTTTATCTCAGCTTGACACATGCTGGAGTCATCAGAGAGGAGGACACCTCAGGTGATAAAATACCTCCATAAGATCAGGCTGTACACAAACCTGTAGGGAACTTTCTTATTTAATGATTGATGGAGGAGAGCCCAGCCCATTGTGGGTGGTGCCATCCCTTAGGAAGGAAGTTAGTGACCCTTTAAAGGAGATCAGAGAAGCCCCTTCGCTCTGTAGGTCATGTGGAAACACATCCATAGCTGCCTATCGACCATTAAAAGAGCCACCAGTAGCTGTTAAGCCTATACCTTCATGCTGGTCTTCACAGCCCCCAGACTATGGGAATAAATCTCTGCTCTTTGTGAGACACTGGTATTTTTGTGACAGAAACCCAAGCACACCATGTCTATTTTATTAAACACATTTAAAGAGAAAGAGGACATCATGTTTCTTACTGGCCTCACTGATCATTGCAAATCACCAGAAATAGCCACGCTGTGTCTGGAAGGGTTACACAACTTCACCATCACACCGCCATCCTGCTGGCCTTGGGTGAAGCAATTCGCCTTCCTCGTTTCTGCTGCACCAATTAACTTGAGCCAGCTTTTAAGCCAACTGAAAACAAAATGAGAAGCAACTAGCATATCAGAGTCCCAAACCCTTTGTAGATGTAAAAATCTGACCTTTCCCCGTATCAACAAAAAACTGGTCCTAATACCACCACCCTCTGCAAGCACTATTTGCAACCACTCATGAGACGCTATGTGGGAACTCCTCCACTTGGCTCCTTCAAGAGAGGTGTGTACAGACCACGCTTGTCCTGGAGGAAGGGGATAAGACGGATCCTCATTTGGTCTCTACCAGAGGATAGCACCCAGTAATTACAGCCTCGTATTATGAGTGCTCAAGTGAGTCTATGAACATGATTCAGTTGGGACTCAAAGATGCAAAAACCCTCTTGTTGAAGAGATGGGGAAGATAAACTCCCAGCATAGAAAACACTGAACCAACCTGGCGATGGAGGTGCACGTCTTTAATCCCAGCACTGAGTTCGAGACCAGCTAGTTCTAGGATAGCCCCCAAAGCCAGAGAGAAACCCTGCCTCAAACCACCACCTCCCACCAAAAAAAGAAAAAGAAAACACTGAACCAAGCTCAAGCCATTTAAGATCGCTTGACTTCTGCCCGCCTCACCCGCATCCCCAGGCTGCCATCATCCTCCTTGCAGAACCATCAAAGCTACTTCCAGGCTGCCACTCACCTCGGAGTCGGCGAATGCCCCAGCGCATGGGGCCAGCAGGTACTCCTCCCTGCACTTCCAGACGATAAGAGACTGAGCACACGGCTGAAAAGATGGCTTCTGCTTAGCTGCTAAGACTGTGCCGCTCTTCCAGAGGACCCAAGTTTGGTTCCCAGCACCCACATCAGGCGGCTCCCAAGGGCATTGCACATTGCATTCATGTGCATATACACATTCTAAAATAAATTTATGAGCAAGAAACTACTATTCTTCCTGTAGAAGACAAAACACCAGAAGACAAAACCCAGTCAACACCTTTGAGCATATCTCAACGCGTAGGCCCCTCCCTCCCCACGTGGGCCCCTCCCTCCCCACGTGGGCTCCTCCCTCCCCACGCGGGCCCCTCCCTCCCCACGCGGGCCCCTCCCTCCCCACGCGGGCCCCTCCCTCCCCCGTGGGCCCCTCCCTCCCCATGCGGGCCCCTCCCTCCCCACGCGGGCCCCTCCCTCCCCACGCGGGCCCCTCCCTCCCCCGTGGGCCCCTCCCTCCCCACGCGGGCCCCTACCTCCCCACGTGGGCCCCTCCAGAAGGCAATGGAAATTCATTAATTAACTCTCTTTAACTATTGACTAACTCCACCCAATCCTTGTACAAAACCGACAGATTCATGATACATTCTGAAGAGCCACAGACAGCCTCATAGTCCTCATACACCCATACCCTTCTTCTCCTGTGAAGCTAGTGGGATGTTTATCCTGAGTCTTTTGTTTGTTATCAATCCTGTTAGTGACCTGCGATCTGAGTGGGGATCATAGCAGGCAGAATGATTACTCTTCAATGATGTTCACATCCCAATCTCCGGAATTTGTGTGCACAACCCTTAGATGACAACACACCCTTTGCAAGTGTTTAAGGTTAAGGACCTTAAGATGGGGCCATGAACCTCATTACCCAGGCCACTCACTCTTATCCTATAACCCTGTAAAGAATAAAGGTCTTTCCAGCTGTAGCCAATCTGAGAGAAAGGTGGTGGGAAAAGCCCAGAGGTCTTTGAAGATGGAAGAAGCAAGCCAGGAGTTTAAGAATAGAAGTCCCGCCGCGCGGTGGTGGCGCACGCCTTTAATCCCAGCACTCGGGAGGCAGAGGCAGGCGGATCTCTGTGAGTTCGAGGCCGGGCTGGACCGACAGCCTCCAAAACAATACAGAGAAACCCTGTCTCGAAAAAAAAAAAAAAAAACCCTCAAAGTTGGAAAAGGCAAGAAAATGGGCTTCTGCAAAGCATCCAGAAAGACCACAGCAGTCATGTGACACGGTGATGTCATCCCAATGAAACCCACATCAGGCTTAGGACCCATTCCCGCCAGAGCTCAGGACTTGCTGGTTACAGCCAGTGTTACTGTTACCCGCGGCTCACAGGTGTGCTGCCTCCTGTCTCTCGTCTCTAAAGCCCCCATCAGGCCTCTCTAAATCATCTGCCATGCTCTGGGTTTCAATTTTCACTCCTGCGGCTGCTCGCTTTGATCTTAAGCGTCAGGCAGTCAGCTTGATTGTTTTGTGAAGTAGGAAGCCAGGCAAGGAGGGGCAGTGATCTGCAGCTGAGTCTCTACCTGATGGCTGTCGATCCCTTGGTTCCCGGGTGACAGCTGCTTCTGTTTGCGCAGCTGCTCCGGAAGCTCCTCTGTGCTATGGACCGAGGCTGAGCAGTTTCTTGTCCCACCCTGCTCCGCTGTGAGTTCCCCAGCTTCCCGGACAGTGTCAGGGAGCTCACATTCCCTCCTTCAGCGCTCCCAGGTTCTGTGCCGGCAACAGAAGCCTGTGTCAGCCCAGCAGAAGAGCCTGGTAGAGAGTTGTGGTGAAGTCTGTAAGACTTAACAAATTGCCAAATCAGTTGCTGAAAGAAGTATGAATTTTAGTCACACCACACCTGCTGGGCAGCCTGATGGTAGATAGGTTCCCTGCTGCTGTGTGATACCCAAAGCAGATCACCTTAAAAGATGCATCCAAAGTGTGGGACAAACACTTTGATGGCACCCTCCATGACACAATGGCTTCAGCACTGTGGTGTATACATATATACATATACATATACATATACACATACACATACATATACATATACATAATTATTCCCCCAGAGGCAAAGCTCACCCTTAAGTACCAAACCTGCAAGCTCACCTTCCCAAAGTTCATGGAGCCCACAAAACTTTATCAAATAAGGAGAAAAAAAATGGATGTGAACCAAGCACACGCCTTTAATCCAAGCACCATGTAGGCAGGGGCAGGTGGACCTCTGAAAGTTTGAGACCAGCCAGATCCAGCATAGCCAGCAGTATGTAGCAAGACCCCCATCTCAAAAAGACAATAATAATAATAATAATGATATTAAATGAAAACAAAAGTATTAATGAACACTCACTTCACTCACGGGGCTAATTCACAGAATGTAGCTCCTATTAAATATCTTTTGATGCAAAAAAAAAAACAAATTGTGTGTTGTTTTTGCCCTTTTGGCTTTTTGAGGTGCCCACCACCCAGCTCCCAAATAAACCACACATGGAGTCTTATTATTACTTATGAGTGCCTGGCCTTAGCTTGGCACTTCCTGACCCACGGCCCCCTCTGCTGTTAGCTTGCAGTTCCTGGGTTAAGAGTCCTGGGTGCTACAGAACAACTTTTATCGGCCAGCACAAAGATTGATAGAAATGGGTTAATTTAAGTTAAAGGGGGGAAAGCTAGCTAGAAACAAACATAAGCTAAGGCAGAGAATTCATAATTAATAAGTCTGTGCTATGATTTAGGGGCTAGTAGCCAAAGAAAGCCAACCACACTTTTTTTTCCCTTGATTTTTTGAGATAGGTTTTCTCTATGTAGCTCTGTAGAGCAGGCTGGCCTTGAACTCACAGAGATCAGCTTGCCTCTGCCTCCCAAGTGCTGGAATTAAAGACATGTGCCACCATTGCCTGGCCGCCAACTACACTTTTAACCACTGAGCTATCTCTCCACCTCACCTGACTTTTTTTTTTGTCAGATACAAATATATTTACCTAAGGGGATGGAGAGGTAGGTTAAAAGTGCTTGCTGCTCTTCTAGAGGGCCTGAGTTTGATTCCCAGCACCCACATGGCAGCTCACAACCATCTGTAACTCCAGTTCCAGAAGATCTGATGCCCTCTTCTGGTCTCCATGAGCACTAGAAACACTATGATGCACAGACATTCATTCAAGTGTAACACCCATACACATAAAAAAAACTGTAATGCTGACATATTAGATCCATGAAAGTAGATGGAAAGTGATGTGTTTGCCTTCTGCTTACTAATAGTTTGAGAAACTTTGGTCATTAAAAGTCTTCAAACATAATTTTGGAGAAATAAAACTCCCTGCAGGGATCTCAGTGATTCAAACTATCTCAATCATCTCTGCGTTAGGTTGCTATAAAGTACGCTCTATTTTAAAACACGGAGTTTGAAGGGAAAATGCTCTCCCCACGAGACTGTTCTCATAAGCAACAGCGTGACTGCCCTCCCACTGTGAATTCCCAATGCTTCCCCCAAGCCCCGGGAGATGCTGGCACCTGCAAGATGTGATGGCTGTCTCCTTCAAAGTCTGGGAGATGTCATCTTCTGGCCAAGCAAGCAGAGGACCGAGTTCCAGCCAGCGGGGTGGCGGTCAGAGGACAATGGTTGGGGGAGTTGCTTCTGCCCTTCCACCTCTGGAGGTCGGGAGGGTCTCTCGCTTCTGCCCCACCATCTTCTAGGCTGCGGCACACCCGGCTTTTTAGGGGGTTCTGGAGACTGAACTCGGGTATCTCACCAGGCTTTTGAGGCAAATGCGTTTACCTGTGGAACCACAGCCTGAGCCCTGTTTTTTCATTTAGATCAATGGCTGAATAATTCAATCCTCAGATGCAAACCTGCTGCTTTCTGTTAGTCCAGCTAAAAGGAGACACAGGACAAGGCAAGCAGAAGAGGGAAAGCAGACTATCTTCATTCCCACTAGAAGACCTGCCTGGGATCTAGCCTAGCCAAACTGCCATGGAAACATCAGCCCAAGGCACGCACAGGCTTTTCCACCACACACTCAACAGGGGCCCTACTTCGTGCCCCCCTGTTCCCAGCCTGGGTCCACCTTACTTTCTTCCCAGCATACACAAATCCTGACCAGTATGTTTCTCCGGCAGTCAACTGATTTCCAAAAACAAGTTGTCATATTAAAACACAATTCATTTCCTGCCGTTCAGACCTGAGGAGTGTCTCACTGTCCCTGCAGACTGTCTGATCTTTAAAGTCAAAATCCAAAGTGACTTTGGTTGTAGTCAGCAGTTAGCCTGAAAGTCACCAGCCTCATTTGTCTATTTTACCCTCAAAAGCAAGAAGACTCGAATATTCTTTTGGCACTTCCTGACCCCCTGCCCCCTCTGCTGTAAGCTTGCAGTTCCTGGGTTAAGAGTCCTGGGGGCTACAGAACAACTTTTATCTGCCAGGGTTCAGATGGCATCTGGGGAAGTCTACCACATTGTTTCCTTTTGAGTAAAAGCTCCAGCAAAACAGATTCTTAAGGGAAATTGGGGATAGGAAACAATGAATCCCCTGCCCCCCCACCTGTACCATGTGGAGAAACATAACCACTTTACTATGAGTTACCGACTCTCAGGACAACCTGCCTTTTTAACTAATTGTTTGAGTAACTTCCTCCACACTACAGTCTCAGGAGGCCACAATTGGCCAGGAACAACCCTTGGCATTTATCACAAGCCGCTCTCCCATGAAACATTCACAAGCCCGGGCTAGGTCAGCTCCTCGCCTGCAGCCCTTGTCCTGGGATTGGGTTTCTGGAGACATCTGTGAGAAAAGCTTTCTCCGGTCTTCACAGTTTACAGGAGATGATAACTATTTTTACCAGGGATCTGGATAAGCCGTGAAAAGCACCACACTCCCTCATAGTCTGCTGAGATCTCACACCCTGTAAAGCTCCCGAGCAACGTGGCTCAGGAAGCTAAAGGGAGAGCACTAAGAATCATTTTCTTGCTCCTGCCTTAGCGTCATAAACCCAAGCGCCATGGCATCGTGGAATCTCTTGGGAATGGCTTCTGTCAGAGCATGGTCCAAGAATGAAGTGCTGGGAGAATTCTGAGCACTTGTGAAAAAACTCCAAGAAAACACGAGTCTTGGGACCTCCATTTCTTAAAAACACAGAACTATTCTTGGAATGTGCTTTCATGCTCCTCCCAGGTATGGTAGACAGAAGTGAGTTTGCTTCAGATTACTGATTATTGCTTACTGCTGTTCATCAATTAAATACTTATGCCTCTTATGGAAAACTGTGTTTTTGCCTTGTGTGTGGCTTGACTTTGTGGTTGTATACAACTTGAACTCTTGAGAACTTTACTCCTATGACTGCTCTTAACCCTCAGAGAGAGTATAATCATTGGGCTCTCTGAATGAGGCTGGCTACAAATGAGACTTAACTGCTTCAGCTTCCCACACTGCCTCTAGAGTGGTGACAATTTCAAACAGTATAAGCAGTGTTCACCCTTTCACTCACCAGTCAACAATTCTGTGTGTCTGTCTGTCTGTGTCTGTGTGGTGTGTTTGTCCATGCATGTGCGAGTGCCAGCACAGGCCAGAAGAGAAAGTCAGAGAACCTAGATCTGGAGTTGCCCCTGTACCCGGGCACTAAGAACTGCACTCGGGTCCTCTGGAAATACAGCTAGCACTCTTAAACACTGGGCAGTCCATTTCTGCAGTCCCCAATCAGGTTCTTTATTACATACATACTTACTGCATGCTTGGCTCTTTGGGACTTCCAAAGACAAACACCCTTACCCCAGATCCCACACTATAAAAATGTGACCAAAATGGATGGGAAACACCCAAATCAATAGCATCATAAATGGCTTGAGTATTAAGTGCTACATAGCAACTGTTAGGCATCCTCAACTGATCTCACCAAGACCTTTACCAGAAAGTGTGAAGGAAGCAAGTGAGGTCAGCCTATGCACAACCATTATGTGGTCAAGTGAGACACAAGCACATGCCACTCTGATCCCAAAGCCTGTAACTTCATCAAACCATAAGAGAAAGCAGACAGGCCAGTCTCCAGACGGAGGTGTCACAGCTGAGCCTTTCTGTAATGCGCATCTGCACTCAGTTGTGTTGACTAACATTTATTTTTGTGTGTATGAGTGTTTGTCTACCTGGATGTCTGTGCACCATGTGTGTGCCTGGTGCCCACAGAAGCCACAAGAGGGCACTGGTTCCCCTAGAACTGGAATTACAGTTGTGAAGTACCCTATGGATCCTGGGACTCAAATGTGAAAGAGTAGCCGGGTGGTGGTGGCGCATGCCTTTAATCCCAGCACTCAGGAGACAGAGGCAGGCAGATCTCTGTGAGTTCGAGACCAGAGCTAGTTCCAGGACAGCCTCCAAAGCCACAGAGAAACCCTGTCTCGAGGGAAAAAAAAAAAAAGAAGACGTGAAAGAACAACAAGCTCTCCTAACTGCAGAGCCCTTACTAACTCTAGTCCATACTAATGTAGACCTAGCATAGAACTCCCATCTGCTGAGGAGTGAGCCCAAAAGCTTACTGCAGTTCCTCAGGTTCGCCTGGAACTGTAGAAAAAGTTACCCATCAGATGATAACTTCAGATGAGATGCATGGCCCTGATCTCTCACAACAATCAAACCACTTGCCAGTGTGCCTATTCCATTGGGAGGGAGGCTGTCACCTGGTCTCCATAGGCTTAAAGATTAACTTTGGGATGTATGTGGCATGCGTGTGTGTGTGTGTGTGTGTGTGTGTGTGTGTGTGTGTGTGTGTGTGTGTGTACGTTCTCTCTCTCTTTCTCTCTCCCTCTCCCTCTCTCTCTCACACACACACACACACTATTACACACATATGCCATACGTGTGCAGATACTTGGGGCTGGAGGCCAAGAGAGGGCTGTGGACCGCCCAGGGTGGGTACAGGGAACAGAGCTGAGGTCCTCTGCATCCTCTGCAGGAGCAGTAGTATTCTTTAACTACTGAACGCTCTCTAGCCCTGGTTCCCAAAGGTTTCCCCTCCTCTTCCCTCCAAGAGCATGATGAACACAGATATTCCATTCCCCAACCACAATGATTGGCTCATGAAGGGGCATGGGTCACCCCTCCCCACACCAGTCAACCTCCCCTGCCTTCCTGCGGTTAAAGACAATCTTTCACCACAGGTAGCAAATTAGAAAAGTGTGAACTCGGGCCCCGCTTTACCTCTTTCCCAACACAAAGAGTCGACAGACTGAATAAACACACAGCAGATAACAGCACTGAGCCCTGGAGCCCCCCCCCCAACCTGTACCTGGCTGCACACCCGGCCTTGCCTGCACCCGGCTGCACACCTGGCCTTGCCTGTACCCAGCTGCACACCTAGCCTTTCCAGTTCCGTCTGGGAAGTGCTTTCTTTCCACTGGAGCAGTTAACAGATGTGTGTTGGGGAGGCCCTTTGCCTAAAGATCTTTGCTTAGCCTTCCTTTAAGTTTTGAAAGAGCAAAACCAGCCAGCTGGGTTCTTCATCCACAGCGTTTCCAGACAAATGGCAGCCTGAGAGCCTGTTTTGCCTGGTGCTCAACTATTCCAGGGGGCAAGCGCACACTGCCACAGCACCAGCTTAGGGGAGGTGAGAGAGGCAGAGAGGCAGCCAGTGATTATTGAACTTTCCACCTAGACAAGTCTGGAGAGAAATGGCTAATGGCTCAAGTTAAACGGAGCGTGACAAGGACTGCCTCCAGGATGCTGTCTGTGGGAGACAGACGGGGAACGAGACACTCTAAAGTGATTAACGCTGAGTGATTTGTCCTGCAGATGTGGGATTGAGACAGTGCTTAGAGAGGATTTGCCTAGGCATTTCTTATCAGCATCTCCTGACCCATCTGCG